GGGGGGGGTTGTATTAGAGTTGATTGTATATATTAGTTTATTTTACGATAATATGACGTTCGAAAAAATATAGATGACAAGATTTTAGGGATTTAAATCCTATTTACTTCAATTTTAACTTTCAGCATTTCCTCTCCTTGGATCTGTTCTAATAACTTTTTTAAATTTTTTAGTTCTTTAGTTTCTTCTTCCAAATTTTCCAATGACTCAATCGCTCCCTCGCTGGTTTGCTTTTTAATTTTAATTTTTTTTGTTAGGTTTGAAATGACACTGTCAAGTTCTTGATAAATTCCATCTTTTTTGTCTTTTGGCAGTGCCAATTCGGGCAATTGCTTTTTTAACTCCTCTCGATCATTTTTAAGTAAAGATTCAATATAATTAAAAATTCCTTCAATCTCTTTTTCAAACTCTTGCCAATTGTTAGAGCAAACAATTAAATCGGCACGCTCTCTAGTAGTAACAACATGTTTTTTTTCCGAAAGATTAGTGCTTTCTGTTCAAAAAAATAAGGCTTCTGACAGTGATTTTCCATAATCTCGTAATTCGTTTGTAGTTTCCTCTTCAAGGATCTTTCGTCATCAAGGACTACGAAAAATTTTACGCATTAGCCGCACGTTTTCATCGGCTTCAATGTATATTTTTAAGTCAGCCATGTTTCGGATCTCCTCATCTTGTAGGGCATTAATTCCCTCTAAAACTATTATTTCGCCTGGCTCTATTTCTTTTTCTGCCCAATGAGAAACTCCATGCGAGTCCTTTTTTCTTAGTTCAATTGTCGTTTTTTGTCAATTCCTCAGATCCCCTAAATTCTTTAACAAACGGTCTTTTTCCAGTCGATCGGGATTATTAAATTTAGAATGATGATTAAGGTGTTCATCAAAAGAGGATTCCAAATTTAATTGTATGTCATCTCTTTTGACATAATTCTCAGCACAAAGATTAACTACCCTCCCTTCAAACTTTTTTTCTATTTTCTTAGCAGTGGTTGATTTTCCTGAAGAAGTACCACCGGCAATTATAATTAATATTGTTTTCATATTTATTTTGAAATTATGTATTATTGTTTTGCTTCCGTATATAATTTGTATTTATTATTTATCTCCTTGTGAACTACCCCTACTTATAGAAGTAGGAGCTTCCTCGTTGAGGTTTTAACGAAGAGATTATCACTAATCATGTTCTCGTCTAACGAAGACAATTCCTGCTCCGTTGTTTTTGCCCGATAGAGGATATTTTTCGCCACAATAATTTTAGCAAATAATAAACAAACAAAAACTTCGGTAAAACAGAAATTATTTATCGCCCTTTCGAAAACTTTCTAATCATTTATTTAATTTCTCTCGATCAAGAGTTTTGCTAATAAAAGTTATGCTGTATGGTTCACTATTTTCTAATTCTTTTTGAGCCTGCCTAATTAGTTGATTATAATATTCAGTTCGTTCGGGTTTTTGAGAGGCAGAAAAACGCATGCCGGTGGTAAAGCAAGGTAAGCAATATTTTTCAGGATCTCCGGCAAAAGGAGCAACAAGTTTGACACAATTTTGCTGGCACATATCGCATTTTCAATTAATATTCATAAATTTTTTTTAGCATCTTATAAATAGCCCTATCCTTAAAAATAATATATTGTATGAATGATCATTGAGTCTTCCGTCGTGAAAAGACTTTACAAACCGCTGATGGCTACCTAATTAGAATTAAAATGAAATTGCGGAAATTGTCTGAGCCTTATGGACAAGAATTCCCCAATGGTTATAAATTTAGTTGAATTGCTTATAATGTGAAAAACGATCAACAAAGAGTATTATTCGATAATCACACCAACAAACCACCTCACATTCATACTAATGGTCATGAGGAATATTTTGAGTGAATTTCATTGGTGGAAAGTGAAAAACTATTTTTAACCAAAGTTCGTCAGAGATTTGGTTATTTTGAAATAGAATTAGATAAAATGTAAATATAGTATAAAAAATTATGAAAAATTTCATTATTCAATATAATCCTTATCACACTATTAAGGGAATGTTCCGTGAATTTGAGCAAGCCATTGAGGGAAAAAAATTAATCCAACCCAAAAATCTCATGATTGTTAGTGATTTAGGAGTAGTAGACAAATTAATCACTAAATCACGAATGGAATTGTTGGCTTGTTTACAAGAAAAAAAACCTAATAACATTCCGGAATTGGTTAATTTATTAGGTCGTGATCAAGATAGTGTTCAGGAAGATCTGCAAATATTAAGCGGTTTGGATATTATTAAACTAAAAAAAGTAGGTTCAGAAATTAAGCCAATTACTTTGTATGACAGAATAATTTTTGATTTTCATATGGCTCGAAATGTTTCCGCTAACAGAGTTATTGAAGCTTCGCCTAGTGCTTAGTTATTCATAAACAACTCCACTAGCAACTAATAATCAGCATTACACCAAAAACTAATTTTGCCCCATAAAATTTTTTATAATTATAATGATAATCTGCGACAATTGCAAAAAAGAGATTAAACGTGGATAAACTAAGACTGAAATTAGTGATGGAATTAATGATCGACACTATTGTCAAAAATGCTTTCCTTGTGCTAAATATACCATTTGGATAATATTGGGGACAGTTTTGCTTGTTGGCTTTATTTTTTCATTGGTCTATTTGCTTTCCGACTAGTTTGAGAATGAGGCACGCTTGGTTAGGTTAGTAAATTTTTTTGCCTTTTCTTTACTACTTCTAAATCTTGTTGAGTTTTCTCGATCTCTGTTCCTACATCTTCCGCATTAGTGCCTGATCTTCAAGCCAATTGTTGTGCAGGCGTGCCGTTTGGAAAGGTGGTTTGGATATTTTTTAAGGTTTCTAATTTAGCGACCATTCCTGTCAAGTCAGTTTTGGGAGCCAAGGCATCGGTGATTTATTGTGATGGTAATGTTAGATCATCCCAAAGAAAACTTCTTTCTAAATAATCAGCAAATTCTTCAGGAAAAGAAAAATTACATTTACAAGAAGTTCAAATACGACATTTTACTTTTCTTTCCCGCAAAGGAATAAATTGATGGTTTAGTAGATATTTTGCTTTATTTTTTAATTCAACGTGGAAAGTCGGCATAAATAAATTCAATTCAACTAGGTTAGGAAAATTGTCATAAATTGAGTCAAAACTTTTTTGGCTAAATGTGTTTGGCTCGAAAATTTG